GAATTCCAGCTCCCTAGGAATGAGCAACCCAAAAGGCACCAGCTTAAGAACATGTCGCTCTACCATCAAGGGGGAGGATGCATGGAGCTCCAGCTTAGAGGCTTGAAATTAGCATATGACAGGGGTTTGCTAGCATTTGGGGAGTGAACCAGCAGGGAGAAGACTGATTTCTCTCTCTCAATCTCTTTCACAGACACACACACAAACAAACGGACACACACCTGGCAACTGTATCTGTTTGAAAGAAAGAAAAACAAAAAAATTAAAATGAAAAATAAGTTTGCTTTCATTAAAAATTTTACAAAATGTGCATTTACCAGAACTCTGAATTGGGTTCATAATATCTATTTCTGATGAATGAAAGCTGCATGTCTGTCCCCCACTCTGTCCAACAAATAAAAACAAAAAATTCAAAATGAAAGATTAGTTTAATTTAATTAAAAACAACTCAGGAACATACGCACATTTGTCTCATAATGTGCGTTGTCCAGGCACTTTGGTTGCAAACTCCGAATGTGGTTCATGTTTTCCACAACTAAATGGATATAATATTCAGTGGACTCTTAAGCGTATGATTATAAAATCAACTGGAAGTATGGTATACCAATTATTAACAGAAATTGAGGAAGGAGGGAGGAAAGCACAGAAATACTTCCTTATAAAAAAGAGAGAGAGAGAGATTGATTTATTTGTATTGGAAAGGTAGAGAACGAGAGAAAGAAAGATCTTCCTTTCTGGTTCACTCCCCAAATGGACGCAATGGCTAGAACCGAGCCCATGGGATCCAGGAGTCAGGAGATTCCTCTGGGTCTCTCAGTGGGTGCAGGGCCCCAAGACTTTGGGCATCCTCCTAAGCTTTTGCAGGCCACAAGCCGGGAACTAGTTGGGGAGTGGAGCTGCCGGGATAAAAACCGGCACACATATGGGAGGCCGGCGCTTGCAAGGGAGGATGAGCCGATTAAGCCATCGAGCCAGGCCCAGTGGTTCTTAGAAGTAGATCGTGGAGACACACGCCCTCTATGCTCTTTATATTAAAACACGCAAATAGCATATATTTTAAAGCAAATATTCCAGGAGCCTTTCAAGTACGTGATGCGTTTGGCTGCTGAAGGCATGGGGGGGGGGCACGCCCTCCATCCAAGGGTCACACTCAGGAGTCCTGCACGTGCCACGGAGCACTTGGCCTGCCACGTGCAGACTGTTGGCGCTACACTTGCCCTGGAAGAGGGACTCCGGGTGGCAGGGACATCAGGCTTGCAGGATCAATTAAGCCAGAAGCCTGCAGGGGACCGGCCCTCTCCCTCCCCAACACCCGAGGACAGATGGTGTACCCCACCCACATTGGGCCAGGCCCTGAAGGACCCCACGCGGCACGGGGAGCCGCACCACTGCCCTCTGGCCAGTGGCACGTCGGAGGAGCCTAGGGTCAGAGCCTTGGTCAGACGGGAGGCGACCCACATCGGCAGAGCACATGAGCTCCGGCCTGCACCAGGCAGCAAGGGGAGGCGCCTCATGAAGCCCCGGGGCCCCGAGAAATGCAACGCCCCCATACGGGTTATTGACGCCCCCAGTGACCCGGATGGGGAGTGCTCCCCCGACTTCCGCCGCCTGGTCCAAGATGACTGGCTGAGGTACGTGTAGCGTTGGCTCTGAGGAGGCGACGGAGACACGGTGGGAGGGAACCCAGGAAGCCCCAGGCCCTCACTGGGGCCCCGGAGAACCCAGGTCTACTGCTCTTCTCCTGGCCGTGCCCCGCAGGGCCGGCGTGGAGCGCTGGGCCCGGAGTCTCCATGGTACATGTTGCGACTCTGCATGGCTCTCCCTGGAGGGAAACGGGGAGGAAGGACCAGGGTGCCCGGAGGTTCGGGACAGGCCCTGAGAGACACCACAGTGAGGGGGTCCCCGTGACCCCAAGACTGGGGCCCGAGGCCACCGTGCCCTGCGGTCAGCCCTGGGAGGAGCTTCACGTGGGCCGAGCTGTGTGGTCCCTCCGCGGGGCAGAGACGGGAGGGCCTTCCTCTCAGACAAGGGGGAGGGAAGGAGCCAGAAACAGGGCCCACGGTGGACTGAGGGCCGCGGCCTTCCTGTTCTAGAAGGAAGGGGCAATTCTGCCCCTGCTCTCGGTGCTGGGAACCCCACACAGTCCCTCACGTGGGCCGAGCTGTGTGGTCCCTCCGTGGGGCCCTGAGAGAAGGGAGGGCCGTCCTCTCAGACAAGGGGGAGGGAAGGAGCCAGAAACAGGCCCCGTGGTGGACTGAGGGCCGCGGCCTTTCTGATCTACAAGGAAGGCGAAATTCTGCCCCTGTTCTTGGTGCTGGGAACCACACACAGTCCCCCCGCGGGGCAGAGAGACGGGAGGGCCTTCCTCTCAGACAAGGGGGAAGGAAGGCTCCAGAAACAGGGCGCCACATCAGCTGGCCCTGCCGTCAGGCCTGGGTCCAGGGCAGACACAGAGGGACCCATCATTCTCGTTCTAGAATGCAGGGTGCAACTCTGCCCCTGCTCGCAGTCCCACAGACACCAGGCCATGCGACTATAGTGTTTCAAGTTTTCAGAGAGGTGGCCTCCTGAAGGCAGTTGCTGCCCTCAGGTCAGCAGAGGGTAACTTCCAGTACCGCCAAGGGGACATTGGTGGATTTCTCTCATCCACATGTGTGCACCTGATCTACGAGGGCCTTTGCAGGAAGTGACTGGAGTGTGGGGAGACATTGCCCAAAGCAGCCTCTTTTGGGATCTCAGGGAGACGGTATTCTTGGTCTGCAAGACGTGTCTGCACTTAGAGAAGCGAAAGGGCCTTGGGTCTCTCAGGACCATGTATGCATACCTTGAGGAACCCCGGGCAGGGCAGGGCAGGGCAGGGCAGGGCGGGGCAGGGCCCCATGAAATCTCATTTCTCTTTGGAAACCTCATGCAGGCTGACCAGGTGTGGTGCACACTCACCTGGGTCTCCCAGGTCTTTGATCTGCACCAGGAGGCAGGTGCTGTGGCCCAGAAAAGCAGAGTGGACCAGCAGAGGCAGGAGTGCCCGGATCTACCAGGACCCAAGGTGCGCACTGGCGGATATTGGTGAGGTCTGAGGATGCCCACAGCCAAGGAAGTGGGGAGCCTCACTGAGTCTGAATGTCTTGTCTACCCCTAGGGGACTGACTCAAGAGTAGCCCTACGTGGCATACTGGCTTCTCCCGGGAGTAAGCAGGTGCTGAGTCCTAAGGCAGTGGAGGTCTTGGTCAAAAGGGAGAGCTGCAGTGGGATGAGGAGGGGCACGCGCTGCCAGGAGTCTTCCAGATGAAATAAGGCCCCGGGGGAACTTAAGGAACCTGCAGGCCAAGAGGTGGCATTCTGTTGGCATCCCTGGGGACCCCACACACATGGTGACAACGTAGGCACCACCTCAACCCCCATGGGTGCAACCAGGGAAGTGAGGAACTTGTTCTGAGTGGGGGATATCTGGCGCACACAGGGAAACCAACTGGTGACCTGACACACAGATCCCATGCTCTCTCGTGTGCCAGTGCCAGGGTCAACAACAAGTGTTCAGGGTACAGGCAGCCCGGAAGAGAGAACGGGGCCCGCAGGAATCTCCAGGCAGGCTGAGACTCCGCATACTTGCTCATGGGTATTCTCAGGCCTTGCTAGGTGGGACTTAGGCGTAGGTCAGAAGAGAGAGGGTGTGGGTTTGCTGGGTGTCAAGGAGATGCCAGAGGGGAACTGCTCCCTGGAACACAGAATGTTCTAGGTTCACCCTGCCCCTTATCTCAGCCCTGGGAAGACAGAGGGAAGGAGTGCATTGCCTTGCAGCTCTTGCACTTGGGGCAGCTCACGGGGACAGGGCTCTGGTTTAAGCAAGCGGCTTCAGGAAACAGACCCGGGGATTCAGGCTCTGCCATTTGGCGTGGTGGGGACTGAGCAGGAGGGTCCCTCCAGGATGCTTGGGCCTGTGGATATGGCCACGTGCTGCTGTGGCCCATGGGCAGGGATGGCCGGATGTGAGGCTCGCAGGGCCTTTTGTGTCCTCTGGAAGAGGAGACACATTGCCCAGGCCAGCAGAGGGGGTGGAGTCCAGACCATGTCGGGAGTGAGGATCCTGAGCAAGCAGAGAGGGGACAGATGGGTCCACCCCAGCACAGTGGGGACCTCGCAGTGTCTGGCCCATCCTCTGGTCAGACCCGGGCTTCCAGTGGGGCTGCTTGCAGTCTGTGTAGCTTGAATGTCCCACAATTTCTTTTGCAGGAGCTCACATTTGTGGTGACGGTCTCAGTCTGAGTCTGTGTGTTCAGGTCACGGAGAAGAAAGAGGGCCAGGCAGTGCCAGGAGTCAAGGTGAGTGTCCCTTGAAAGTGGACACAGGTGACCCCACAGCGTGCAGTCGCACCCCTCCCCGCCGGCCGTCCATAAGGGAAACTTGGCCTCCACGTGTGCATGGCTGCTCCCTTGGGAAGCCAAGTGGTTCCCTTCCTCCTTCCTCTGCTCAGGGCACAGTCCCAGCAGCGGCCCAGCAGCCCCGTGTGGCGCTCATTGCCCGCCACCCAAAGAGAAGGCATGCAAGTGGGCCTTCATCTCTCCCCTCGAGGGAGGCTGTGGCATCCAGCTTAGCCATCACACCCTCCCTCTCTTCCCCAGGCTTGTGGTCGCATCGCCCGGCTGTCACTCACCTGTCTGCCAGCTGTCCCCAAGATAGCCATGATGCCTCACCATCAGAAGAGTCGGCTCTGCAGGCTGGAGGGAGAACTGCAGGCTGGAGGAGGGGCACCTGGCAGGGCGTGGGTGAGGCTTCCTGTGTCTCAGGAACAGGAGTCCACTGCCGCCGCCTCCTCTACCCCGGCCTTGCCTACCCAAAGGGAGGTGTCTGCTGCTGGGCCCCCGATTCACGCTCCGAGCCGTCCAAGCACCTCCTCTGGCACTGGCAGAGTTGCCACTGCAGGGAGTGAGTCCCGGGGTGGCGCAGGGGCCTGTCTGGGTGTAGCAGAGCTTAGGGCCCAGCATAACGCACTAGAGCTAAAGATGGCTGAGTTGCTGCAGCTCCTCCTCCTTAAATATCGGTTGAAGGAGCCGATCACCAAGGCAGAGATGCTGTCCCATGTGACCAAAGAGTACGAAGCGTACTTCCCTTTCATGTTCAGGAAGGTGTCTGAGTGCATCCAGGTGGCCCTGGGCATACACGTAAAGCAAGTCGACCCCGTTCGTCAGTGCTATGTGCTCGAAACCGCCCTGGGCCTCACCTACAATGGGATGCAGGATCATGACAGGAGCATGCCCAAGACTAGCTTCCTGATCATGGTCCTGGGCCTGATCTTCTCGAACGGCAACCGTGTCTCTGAGGAGGAGCTGTGGGAAGCACTGAGTGTGTTAGAAATATATGATGGTAGGGAGCACTACATCTACGGGGAGCCCCGGCGGCTCCTCACTGAAGAGTGGGTGCGGGAAAGGTACATTGAGTACCGACAGGTGCCCTGCAGTGAGCCTGCTCGCTATGAGTTCCTGTGGGGTCCCAGGACCCGTGCTGAAACCACCAAGATGAGAGTCCTGCAGTACCTGGCCAGGTACTATTCTGTGGAGCCCGAATCCTATGCATCTCTGTATCTAGAGGCTTTGAGAGAGGAGAACCAGAGGGCCCAACTGGGAGATGCAGCCTGAGCCAGGCGCACTGCCAGCCACTTTTCCCACCCTTTGGAAGTCTGGGTCCATTCTTCCTTCAGGACTCTGGTCAGCGGTCAGAGTGCTACAAGGCCAGGGTGGGTTGGAGTGCAGGCACTGGGTAGCGTTTGTGTTCTCTTGTTTTGTTTCATTGATGTACAACAAGCGGATCTTTGTATTTTGAAACACATGGCTCCTGACGATCAGGGTGTAAATATGTTCATCACATCACGGGGGTTGGGGAGTCCCAGTTGTCACACATCTATTGCTGCTGTGCACTTTGAGTGGGAAGAATTTTGTTGTGTTAGCCACAAACTGGGGAGTGTATCTTATGTTGAAGTCGGAGGAGCAAATGACAGCAGTGCAAGAGCTCTTTCTTTGGACAATGTGAACAAGTTAACAGCGATGCAGTTAATAAAATAGATGAAGAAGTCGTTGGCTCCTGATTTCCCTTTTCCCCTTTCTTCTGCCTCCAAAATTAGAAAGTGTTATCTTAGACAACTGATAACATGTAAACAAATAAAGTAGGCTAGAGACGCGTATTGAAAACGTTCTGAAGTTGAGACATGCATTGGACAAGTTCTCTGCAGAAGGCCTTGTACCGTGAGTGGAGCTGTGGGACAGCCACACACACCCTCCCAGACAAGGGTACAGTCCAGCGCCGGCCATGGTAGGAGGAAGACGCTGAGATGTTGGGAGACCCACAGAGCCAGGGAAGGAAGGCCGAGCAGGTGGGCCACCAGGGGAGCATGAGGGTGCGGAGTGGACCCTTTGTGGGGTCTGTGCAACCACACCCCTTCTGCGGAAGCTCACTACGGTGCAGCTGGGTGGGGCAGGAGGTCAGAGGCTCAGGCAGTGTGGGTTTGACTTGAGAAAAGCCGTGAGTCGAATACTTCTCTGTGCAGGTGTTTCCGCGTGTCGGCTACGGCAGAGGAGCATCCGTCTGCAGCGTGCGTCTTGCAGAATGTGTCTTGGACGCTTGTCCCGGTGCAGTGGAACACAGAGCCAGAATCAAATGACCAACGGCCCTCAGGTGCAGGGCACTCCTGAGAGATAAGGGAGGATCTCCCGGAGAGTGAGGTCAGAGGACGGTGGCAGTGCTACTGTGCCAGGCTGCAAAGGCAGGTGCTAACTATTAGACATGGCGGGTAGCTCATCTTCAGTATCATTGGCCAATGTTAGGCAGAACCACATTGTGGTAATCATCCCATGAAATAGTGATGTTGGTGGGAGAGCAGTTGGGAGGGTGGGACGGAGCTGGTCCTGGACTCCACATCTCGCTGCTTGAGTCCCACCGTGCTCCTCCACGTGCGGAAACTGCAGGTGTCCTCTAGGAGGATTCTTTGTTTGGCTGAGGGTCCATGCACGTTCGGCAGAGTTTTCTCTGCGACCTCCTGGAGAACAGGAGAGCAACAGCAGCATCTCAGAGGGGCCAGGCCTGGGGCTCCAGGATAACACAGGAACAGCCACCTGCCCGTCATGCAAGTGTGCCTGTACTCCCCAGGCACTGTGACCGGTGCTTTAGGCACAGGGAAACCCTCCTTGGAGTGACCACCCAGAACAGATGTGACCCACCACGCAGGGCCTGGGAAGAGCTCAGGACTCGTGGCTAGGGCGTGAGCGAGCTGAGAGGAGCCCTGGTTCTTGAATTGTCTGGGCTTCACGAACCTCAGGCCATGGCCGACTCTGACTTTCCATGTGTACTGTCAGCATGGCCCAGCATATCTCTGACGAAGAAAGGAAACAGTCTCCTGGGGTTGGGCGATGGGGCAGCATGCCCAAGTGGACCACTAGAAGGTGACTGTGAGAGTCAAACGCACTTTGGAGGTTGGCAGAGTGCTAGTTCTGTGGGACTACTGCACCTTCCAGTAGTGCAGAGCCCGTTCCATTATGTTTCCAAATGCCTCCATCCAACCCTGGACCCTGGCCTGCTGCCGAGTCCTCCTCTGCTGCCTGGCCCCTGTGGAGGCTGCAGGGTCGGTCGCACGCCCTCCCTGTGACGCAGAGCAGAGCAGGCCTGCTGCCGGCACGAGTCCCTCATCTCCCAAGGCTCACGCTCTGTCCTTTCTGAGAGCCTCACCCTAACACGGCCAGAGCTCAGTCTGAACTACCATCTCAGACACCTGGTCGTGCCTCCCTGGGAGCTGCCAACGTCCTTTAGCTTTGGCAACGAGAGGGTGTGCGTGCTGTGTCCACAATCAAGTGGCTCTGAGGATAGTAGTGAGGGTAGTTACAGATGATGAGGAAAAGACAATTTTCGCAGTGGCATTTACATGAGCTTCTGAGTAGTGAATACCTACCCAGTGGTCAGAGGTCATTTTCAGGGTCGGACTCTCACCCCACTCATAATGATGGTGGAGGCAGCCATCTTCGGGGCTTGGTCACTGGGACACACCCCAACATGAAAAACCGTTTCTTGCAGCTCCAATTCGAGGAGAAAAGGTCTCAAACCCCACTTGCACTACCTCAGAATGACGGTGAAGTACTTGCTTTTGGTGTGACCGATGGCATTGACACAGGTGCCCAGGCAAGACCAGGCATGCCTCAGGTTACAGAGACTCAGGGGAGGAGTAGTGTTCATGACTGCTTCTTCTGATAGGAGACATTCCTCACAATGTTGAGGTCACCCCCAACCTTCCACGTGTGCAAATCTCACAGAGCTAGCATTGGAAATGGCACAGAGCTGGATGCTGCACGGAAATCCTGGAGACAATCGTACTGACTTGCTCCTGGGCTCACACTCTTGCTTTCTGATGGAGTGTTAGCTGTTTCACGTGCACAAAGGGCATGGCCATTCATGTTTGTGTCCCATCAGTTTCTGTAACTTGACGCCCTACGTGGTGCAATACAAAGCTGGTGCAGGGCTTGCAGGCTTGGTCCTCCTGTCAAGCCAAAGGAGGCTTCCCCGTGCCTGCCCACTTGTGTAACCTTCTGTGTCTCTGTCTCCTTTGTTATTTTGATCCCATGCAGCTCCCTCTCCCACTCTGTGCTGCATGGTTGGCAGTGGAGTGTGAGCCCGTTCCACCAGGTTTGCAGTGTTTCGAACTGAGAGGAAACTTCCATGAGATCAGGTTTCGGGAGGGGAAAGAAATCCTGCGACCATTAGTGCAAACGTGTGTCACAACACCACACATGTGTGGATTCAGGTCACACATCTTACATGCAGCTGACACTGGTCTCAAGTCACCCCAAAGCTCTGCACTGGTGTTCTTTTATGCCTGACATGCAGATGAGGAAACCGAGGTGCAGGGAAGTGAAGTGCTGGAATCTCCTTAAAGCCGCGGGAGCGGAATTTAAACCAAACCGCCTGTGCTTCCATAGCCTTGTCCCCGTACTGACCCGAGCTGTGGCCCTCAGGCACCGGAGAGGGGGCAGCTCTCAACCAGTTACTGAATGCCTCAGGTTGCGTGGCTGAGAACCGTGGGGAAGCCATGGAGAGACTCATTCTGGATGCAGCGCTCTCAGCCTCTCCCAGCTGGGTCTGCTCATCTTTTCCTCTGCAGTACAGACCAGGGCCCAGCAGGACACTGGGCTGTAGGAGAGCGGGGGTAAAGCTACAGAAGGGCTTTAGATGCGGGGCTTGCAGCTATGGCCCTCTGGCACACACACTAATATCCAGGAAGGAGCCCTGCCCTCGCATCTACCTACCAGGCCTCCTCCACTTCTGTCCCCGCCAGCTGGGACGTGAAGGACATTGTGAACATGACCTCGTGGGATCCCTGCTGGGTGTACAGCAGACACGGACTCATCTGACAGAAGTAGAATATTCAACTCCCAAAAACCTCTAGCTGCCTGGTCTCTCCAGACGTGAAAATGAGACAAAAAAGCAAAAAGTGTGTGTGTGTGTTTGTGTGTTGGGGGGATAGTATGCTGCAGTGTGCTGCAGTGTGTGTGTGTTGGGGGGATAGTATGCTGCAGTGTGTGTGTGTGTGTGCTGGGGGGATAGTGTGCTGCAGTGTGTGTGTGCTGGGGGGATAGTGTGCTGCAGTGTGCTGCAGTGTGTGTGTGTTGGGGGGATAGTGTTGTGCTGCAGTGTGTGTGTGTGTGTGTGTGTGTGTGTGTGTTGGGGGACAGTGTTGTGCTGCAGCAGGTTAATCTGCTGCTCGCAAAGCTACCATTCCATATGGGAGTGTCAGCATTCTAATCATTGACTTCCCTTCCAGGTCCCTGCTACTGTGCCTGCAAAGGCAACAGGAAATGGCCCGAGTACCAGGGGCCCTAGCACCTGTGTGGGAGACCAGGATGGAATTCCTGGGTTCTGGGTTCTGCCTGACCCAGACCACGCTGGTGTGATAATTGGGGAGCAAAGCAGAGGATGGAAGATGCCTCCCTGTCTGTCTGTCTCTCCTTTCACATGAATAAGTATGTGAAAGAGAGTGACGTGTGTGTGTGCGTGTATGTGTGAGAGCAACACACAGACAAGTCTTCCACCCTCTGGCTCACTTCCCAATTACATAGAGCATTTGGGGCTGAAGTCTGGAGCTGAGAACTGCATCCTGGTCTCTCCTGTGGGTGGCAGGGGTCCAAATCCTTGGGCCATCTTTGGCTCCTCTCCCCAGGTACTCCAGCAGGAGCCTCAGTAGAAGCAGAACAGCTGGGACTTGAGCCAGGCACTCCCACAATGGGATGTCAGCATCACAATCGTTGGCATAATACGCTGTGACACCAACGCCAAGCTCCACAGTGAGAACTTTTCTAACTGCCCCTTGCTTCTTGAATATTCCATCTTCTGCATGCTTTGTTTTTTGGAGAGGAAGAGGGCAGCTTCGTGGTATTAAGGACATTCACACTTGTACGCAATTATAGCCACCATTCATATCAGGAGCTCTTTCCCTCTGCAAAAACCAAAACACTAGGTTGCTCCGGCACTGGCTTACTTCACTAGGCACTTATGCTCTCTCTCACATAACACGGCAGGTCCACAGAGTACAGTACAAGGGAGATTGGGGAAGGATGGCACCACATAGTGTGTGTTCTCCACTCATGAATAAAAGTAGGAC